TATTATTGCTATCTTTGTCATTAATCATCATTATCATGAATATTTTCAGTTACTTTGATACTGCTGTCGTTATCATATTTATCGGTACTATTATTGCAGTTTTCACTATTTACTATCATTAGGGCATTAAAGCACTGTTATCATGAACACTAAAAATGCCATCTTTATCGTTATCATCTTGCTAGTAACGAAAAATATACTAATTGTTTTCTTCTTTCAATCGTAATCATAATTATCATCAGAAATGTACCTTTTATCACTATTTTTTCCACCACCTTAATCTATCATCAACACCATCGGTACATATTTTAAAATAACACTCATTTTTTTATCATTTTTCGCCAAAATCATCACCTCTTACCATCGTTACTCAATCATTTTTTTCACGCTTCTTTGTTTGTATGTCTGTGTATGTATGTATGTATGTATGTATGTTTGTATGTCTATAATTAATCATTTTTTCACGTTTTTTTTTTATTTGTGTCTGTCCCCCTTTACCTAAACAAATGACATAATAAGTTATCTTGAAATTTCCGCCATGTCTGTGGTGAGCAAAGTGGGTTCAAGTGACATGAGAGACCAGCGTGTAAAGTGAGATGCTGCATCTTCGCGGAGAGACGACAGGCAAGCATCTCTGTTTCCGCGACTGAGGGAGAGTTGGGATGAAGTGAAGGCGTGCGTTGAATTCTTGTTTTTTGTTTTTTTGTTTTTTTCTCTCTCTCTGGTTGGTTGGTTGTGTTTGAGGGAGAGTTTCTTTGTTTTTTTGTTTTTTTTCTCTCTCTGGTTGTTTGTTTGTGTTTGTGAGTCGTTTCCTTGTTTGGATGACTGTGGGCTTGTTCCTTATTTTTTTTTTCTCTCTGGTTGTTTGTTTGTGTTTGTGAGTCGTTTCCTTGTTTAGATGACTGTGGGCTTGTTCTTTTTTTTCTCTGGTTGTTTGTTTTTGTTTGCGAGTCGTTTCCTTGTTTGGATGGCTGTGTGTGTGTGTGTTTTTTTTCCTTTGAATGTCGCTGTGTTCCTCTTCTTTCATTTCTTTCTCTCTCTCTCTGATGGGCCGATAGAGGGACATGTGTATAGACAGATCTTTATGTAGGGATAGATATGGATGCGAATAGATATATAGACATACATATATATATATAGCGAGATAGACACACAGATATATATAGCTAGATATACATACAGATATATAGAGAGAGATAGATACTGTAGATAGATGGATAGATAGAGAAAGAGAGAGAGAGAGAGAGAGAGAGAGAGAGAGAGAGAGAGAGAGAGAGAGAGAGAGAGAGAGAGAGAGAGAGAGAGAGAGAGAGAGAGAGAGAGAGAGGTAGATAGACATATGAATACATACATACATGCATAGAGATAGAGAGAGATGAATAGATATATGTTTGGAAAAACTGGGTCTTTTTACAACATAAAAAGTTTTTAATAAACCTTCAAGTGTTCATACAGATCAAAACATACTTTTATTCATTGCATGACATTTCTGATTTTAGAAGAAAAGGAGGATTGATGTTGAAAGAAGCGCAAGTGATTCTGGTGACTGATGACCTTCTCCATCTTTGGTACAGAAAATTGTTGAATTTGTAACGAAAATCACAAAGCTAATTATGAAATATGGCCTGTGTTTTGCAATAATATTTTACGCGTGCAAAACTCATTTTCAGCAAGGCAAAAAATGAACACAAGGGAGGATCTTTAAAAAAAAGCAGGTGATATAATGCTGGTTATCTTTTGGATGAAGTAAGTGTGTGTGAAGTTACAGTAGCTTCAGAATTGGGGGAACAAAATGCTGTGCTGATACAAGATGGCTGGTCCAGCGTCCACGACTAACTAATGTCTACATTTTGACACTAAGACACTTCATAGTATTACACTAAGGCACTTCATAATATGACATTGAGACACAGCATAGTATGACACCGAGACACATCATAGTATGACACCGAGACACATCATAGTATACATCATAGTATCATCAGTATGACATCATAGTATGACACCGAGACACATCATAGTATGACACATCATAGTCCATCATAGTATGACACCGAGACACATCATAGTATGACACCGAGACACATCATAGTATATCATAGTATCATCATAGTATCATCATCATCATAGTATGACACCGAAACACATCATAGTAGACCACACATCATAGTATACATAGTATTCATAGTATCATCATAGTATGACACCGAGACACATCATAGTACACCAAGACTTATAGTATGACACCGAGACACATCATAGTACGACACCGAGACACATCATAATATGACACCAAGTCACAATATGACACCGAGACACATCATAGTCGTCATAACAAGACACCAAGACGCATCATAACATGAAACCCAAACACATCACAGTATGACACCAAGACACTTAATAGACCGCCTTCAATTCGATAGCAGATAATTAAAACGAATTAATTACGAAGAAACTCCATTAGATGATTCCCCGCTGCAGTTGCCAGTTATACTAAATT